GATGATGTGCATATGGAATTTGGAGAGGTGCGCAGACTGACATGGGACGGATAGATCGCACACGTAAGTTGTTAGGACAAACATTCAGCTCGATCTACCCGATACGCTTTTTATCTACCATGGATTGGAACTACCTTTGGAATTATGCGATTATCGACATACTTTTTGTATAGGCTTGGTCGCCGACTGGATTTGCTTGTTGTGTTGGAAGATAGGAGGACGGAAATAAAGGTCACATACAGTATTATTAGGACGGCAAACGTATCTTTCGATTTATATGTCACGCTCTATGCCCACCATACATTGGAACTAATCTAGGGACCTTCTTACTACAAATACTACATACTTCTCACAAGATTTGGATAGGCGCGTTTGGACTGGAATTCGCGACAAATCATTGTATGAAATGGGAAGAAAGGCGGCATACATGGATTATGATTAGGATATCACTCAGTATGATATATCCTCCAGCTTTTATCTTTATCAAAGATTGGGACTTTTTCCGGAACTGTGAATTGTCGACAATGTTTCTCACACGATAGATTATCTGGTAAACCATTTGATGGAACAGGACAGGAGGTCGGTCGCATACGTAATATCAGTGGGACGCCAACTTTCAGCTCGAGCTACCATCCCCGACCAAGTGGAAGTACTTTAGAAATCTTATTATTCGCGATGGCATTTACGCAAAAAGTGTTATAAACTGGGCTTACAACCAAGGTATCGTATATGATTTGGACGTGGACGCGACAGAATTGTAGATTGGACTTAGCAACTGACTCTTAGGCTGATTTCTCTCCACCTTTATATTTTTGTAGTCGAATAAAAGCACCCTGGAAAGTCTCGATCGTCGTTTATATTCTACATATCGCAGAAGCTGGAGAGGTATCGCAGCGCTAAGGCTGTACCTGATGATCAGCTTGGCATGGCCTTCGAAGGAAGACTTATATCGAAAATTCTCCCCGTCTGCGAAATGTTTTCCCGTTCTTCGGATGAGGAATTTAAGGATTTTCAGAGAACCGAAACCGGATCACTAACAGATAAGGTCCTGGTGCACGCCATCCCACAATAGCTCACTCTTCATCGACTCGGTGCATCCAACGCAGGAGGTAGAGGAACTAGTCTTATAACTTATCCAAGGCGACAAGATCCTGGTACTATATCCAAGCCCAATAAGCGGCGAATCGATCATTTTCTGGTCACATCAATCGCGCGAGGCAGGAACGAGATATTGGCCGTCAGATTAGGAATTATAAACTGTGGAGCAGAGTGTGCGACCGGAACCAGCAGAGAGAGACTCGTATCAGAAGCCCTATCGGAATAACTGTTATTGTCGAACGACACGACGAGCACAAACCGAGAAGACACTACATAAGGGACGACGCCGACGCCGACGGACGGGACTTGGTAAGGGCTTGGTACGACAATAGTAATCTATGTTCGATCAGTGGACCGCTTTCGATTTTCTAGTGCTACCAGGCGAATAAGAGAAACCGGAATCGTAGTCGACGCGCGGATGGTAACGTCGAACTAACGCATGTCTCATGCCATCGCCAGAAAACGATATCCGCTCCATACAAAGATTACGATTGAAATTGGTTATATACTTGATTTCAACTCATTCGAAGGGGTAGAGAGCTGGGTGTGGGACTGTCTGAAAACTGCAAGAAGAACATGGAGTTAAGGTGAAAGGAGTTGGAGGCAAGTGAAAGAGGGAGCTGTTGAAATTTGCGGGAGAGTCTAGGCAGAAAACGGAAGACAATCAAAGTAAATGGAACGAAAGATGGGTGAGTACGTACTAATGGAAGATGTGGCAAGGAATAGATTGGCAGGTTATGAAACAATGGAAAGGGAAGGGACAGGAACAGGTTGTATAGATGATGGCGGAAGGGGAATGTAGGAAGATTTGGTTTCGGAGCGAATATTAGGAAGGAAGAATGCAAGGGAAGATGAAAGGAACGAATGGAAGGAAAACGAATGGAACGAGTGCGATTGGAGATAATTGGAAGGAATGCGAAGGAAGACGGTTAAAACGAATGCGATAAAGGACGAACAGAACGAATGCGATTAGAGATGAATGGGGCAAATGCGAAAGAACACGAATAGAACGAATGGAATAAAGGACCAATAGAACGAATGCCATGAAGGACGAATGGGATGGAGGACAGAAATAGGTGGGTGTGAATGCGAGGGTGTGGTCTCGAAGCAGAGGAGTAGTCATAGTGAGAGGGATAGTGGTATTGGTGGAGAGAGCGGCGACTACAACTTCGAAAACAACAATTTGGGATGAAGTCAGTCCAGTGAAGATGGTAGGTAGACGGTGGCAAAAATGGAAGGGACGCGAGACGGGAGAACAAGAAGACGAAGCATAAATAACGAAAACGAGCGCGTATTTCACAGAGTTGGGGATATAACCACAGAAGTCTACAACCTTCAACCTCAATAACATGCTCTCACACCCAGAAACCGACTTTAGGCACGGCAATCGAATCAATTATTCGTCGAGTTCGCAACGAAGTTGAGAATATCTATATCAGGGGCAAGAATCAGTGACGGTCAATCTTGAAGTCGATGGCTAGCGGTTTGCAACCAGAATGTGGAGATCCTGCAAAGTTAATCCCAAATCGGATGTTCCCTGCGCAAGTTCCTGGAATAAATGTACTAGACCAATGTCTGCGCCTGAATATCAGCTACATTACGGATATAGCTGCCACTGAAACCCTGTCGGGATGGGTGTTCAAACGAGAGTAGAGAGGTATTTGTTCCTTTTCCTATGCATTGCTCACTAGTTTCTCCAATAGACATAGGTTCAACGGATGTATTTCCCTTACAACTTTATCAAACACGAGCCGAGCAGTAATTAGACGAAATATAAATCTCGACAAAGGACATTCATAACTTTAGGGGGGCGTTACCAACATATTGTTGAATATTCGCAGAAGCCGAATATCAAATGGCAATTTCCTCGCGTCTCCCCTACGAATACACTCTATCAAATCCGGCGTTTTATTTTATATATATCTCTACGAGCTTTATTCTTAGTAAATACCTGCTACTTCTTGCGACTAAGACACCTCTGCGCACCTATTATGGCCTACCTGCATTTACGCTCATCGGCGCCCTCCGTTCGACGCAACTCGACCCCTCCAATAGCCACACTGAAAATGGAGAAGATATAAGCTCTAACAATATCCTTCTTAACACAAGCTTTTCCAGAACAGCTTCTGCACGTCTTTCTCTCCATTGCTTAACATATACATTATAGTCTACGCTGATGTGGAACTCTTTGGAACTACTGATAGGAATTTTAACTACACCGCCGGCTTCTCAAATGAACTTAACAATTTGGTTTACAGCATTCTCTGCCTCATTCCCGAAGCCCAGAATGACACCCGCACCGAAATTATCATGAGGCCCACTGTTTATTTCCAAAAACTCGATCTTACTCCCACCTTTCTTAATCCTCTCCACGAATACTAGGTGGTCGTCATACATAATCGGTCTACTCGAGTAGATATCTAGATACCTATCAATCTCGCCCATATCTATACTTATATCATATCAAGTCAAACCAAGACCTCCAACACAAAGCTGCCCTCGGAAAAGGAATCACTTAATCCCCATCCTCAGCGAGATAGCGCAATATTATCAAGCAAGATTCCTTAACCATTTCATCAGACAGCACGCCATTCCCAGGAAACTACTGTAGCAAACTTCGAATTTCTCTGGTACATAAACAGATACCGTCATATCATCCTAGACCACAGCTGAGAAACATATGTTCTTTTCTCTCGCAAGCCTGTACTGTTTCGTTTTGTTTGTACCTGTAAACCTGGATCTTATCCGTTTACTTTTTTACTCGGAACATTCGGATTTTAATCGCTCTTCAACTATCTATCTATCTGTCTGCCTTGCACCTCCTGCCTCATATGCGTTTTCGTGATCGTGGAAGTGAACCATGGCTATCTCACTTCGAAAAGTCTCTAGCGAGTGGAGACTAGATGAACTACGAGTATACTTTGTGCTAATGATTTTGATGTTGATGTTGATGTTGATGTTGATATTGATGGGTTTAAGTGGCTAGATTACTATCGATGGTATTGTGATAGGGGCTTAGGGATGGATGTGGATTCTGGGTACACTACACTAATTACTACGAAGCGATCTTTCTGACCTCCAGGCTCGGTGCCTTTTAGAAGTACGGTTGGGGTTCAGTATGGAGGTGTGGTGCCACCCACCAGGGTCTAGATGAAATCTTTTGATTTCCCGACGGATTGGTAAGAACCGTAAGATGTATAATTTCGTTGGGAGCAAGTGGATTTGATTCGGGGATGGAGGAGAGTAGAGGTAGGAGATAATGACAAGGATGCGATAGGGAACAGTGGTGAATATGAAGTTTATGTAGAGGAGAGAGGTAGCGGCTTGGGCTAAAGAAAGTTGGGGGGAGGGGGTTGATGTTTGTTGGGTATGGTGGGGATCATTGTGAGGAATGATGGATCTAGATGGATGGGTCGTGGGTGATATATTGACGGCGGTTGTTTCTGGAAAGAAAGGCGGAAGTACAATAAATGGATGGATAGATGCAGACCGTGATAATTTGTTGGAAGGAGTCGAAGGATTTGTATGTCAAAACTGATAGGTGGTGTGAATGTTATGGAATATCAGCAGTTGTTTTTTGTAGGGTATGGTAAGCTAGAGAAACGATATTCTTGAGATAAATATCTTCGACTCTAGAGAGGCAAGTATGCAGTTGCAATTGTACGAGACAACTAAAGCAAGTTATTAGGCATTGGAAAAGTCACATTGATGGATATACGGCATGTTGTTAATGGGAAGCACTAAACCTCTGTACCAATAGCATATTTAATTTCACTGCACGGCGAATCATCTAATATGCATGCAGTAAATGTGATAGCCCTGTCTATAACGCCTAATCAACTCCACATCAAAATCGTTTATCATGTTCGCAGTCTAGGTCACAATGCACATCCAAATCCCATCTAGTACTGGATAGACTTCTTGATAGCGTCATACACCCCTAAATGAATGTCAGTCATTATATTAGAAATACCAGAAAATCTATTGAACTTACTAGCAACATCTGGGACGTTGAACTTCTCAAACATCAGTGGCATATGTATACCCCAGCCGGCGACTCTTGCGACTGGTGCCTCCATTCTCAAAAATGTTTCCTTGTCTCCTTGTATACTTGCCGCGACTTCCGCACCAATTCCAGCATTTATCATACTTTCGTGCACTACCACGCATCTTCCGGTCTTTCTGACACTTGCCAGAACAGTTTCTTTGTCCCATGGATATACGGTCCGCAAGTCGATTAACTCGATACTGACACCAAGATCTCGTTCTGCCGCTTGTAATGCGGCGGAACATGTATACATAGGATGACCGTAGGAGATCAGCGTGAGATCCTTTCCGGGCTTCACGATTTCTGCCACGGAGAGAGGTAATGTATAGGCATCAATTGGGACGTGTTCAACGGCGGCACGGTATAATGCTTTAGGCTCCATAAAGATACATGGATCTGGACTTTGTATGGCAGCGAGAAGAAGGCCCTTTGCTTGAATTGGTGATCGTGGCATTATGACTCGAAGACCGGGGATATGTGTGAATAAAGATTCGGGTGACTGAGAATGGTATCTGTTGAAAGCCATCATTAGTTTAGGCTACGTCAAAAGGGTTCATGGGAAGTCAAAACGAACAAGGCGCCATGTCCTACTGCACCACACGGCATTCTAACAGTCAGCCCACCCAATCCTCTTCCATACTCTCCATCCCTATATCTCCACTTGGCGGCCTCGTTGACTAATTGATCGAAGGCCGGATATACATAATCGGCAAACTGAATTTCTGCCACTGCTTTCATACCCTCCGCAGCTGCCCCAATTGCAAACCCTACAATTCCTTGTTCGCACAATGGTGTATTGAATACTCTGTGTGTCCCATATTGATCTGCAAGTCCTGTACTGCAACGGAATACTCCTCCAAATCCTACATCTTCACCGAAGACCATAGTTGTTTCGTCACTGGATAATGCGAGGGACAATGCATCGTTAACGGATTGAAACAGGTTCATTCGTTTAGTGGTGCCATTTCGGATTTCCGGTGAAAGCTCTGGATTCTGTAGTGCACTAGATGTGCTATGGCACAGTATGGGAGTAGAGCCATAGTCAATTGACTTGTTGAGTTTTGCCCCTGGAGGATGAGTTGAATATGCTTTCTGGAACCTCGTACTGTGGATGTTTCTTGGAGCTTTCGGTGATATGACCAAGAAAGTTGATAATCTTAAAGGTATTCGCATGATGAACACAAGTACAACGTTCTACGACGTCGGATGAAAAGAATGTATTGTATTAGAAGTCTCCATGATAATATGGGAAACTATTACTGGAGTATATTGATGCATGGTACAAAACGTGGAGAAGTCTGGGGTAAGCCGTTTATAACCGATAGACAGATAAGCCGATAGATTTAGTACCGGTAGCACGTGTTTAGCAGCGGGAACTAGATGCCAAGCTTTTATAGGCCAGCCTCCAAATTTATGCGGGACAAGGATCTTGCTGTACTGTAGGAACGCGATGTACATGTACGCATGTCAAACATACAAAGTTTTCTGATGCAAGGTCAGCACGATAACAATCTATTGTACATATAAACCATGTCAATTGGATAAAGTTTCATTTATATTGGCACACTCCTCACATTTCAATTGACGAGAGCTGGAGGAGGAGAGAGAATGGCCGGGGAAGCATCTGAGCGACCACATAGAAAAAGTACGCTGCATGAGAAACGACGAGCAGAACGAAGATCCAAAGCCATTGTCGCAGAATCCGAAGCACCTTCTGAGCCAAATGGATCCCAAACTTTATCAATTGATTCCTTGACGAGATTACATGATTCCCTGGAACGAGAGAAAAGGAGGGAGGAAAGGAGGAAATCGAGATCGCGACCTCCGGTCAAAGAGGACCTTGGGCAGTCGAGGGAACGAGGTTCACCCAGTAAAGATAGAAGACGAAAGGACCGCGGATATGCGACTGAGGATTCTAGCTCGCCGAAAAAAGACAGAAGGACGAGAGAACGCGACTACGATGCAGTTCCCGGATCGCCAAGTAAAGAAAGGAGGGGGGACCACGGGTTTACCGATGATGAAACTGGTTCGCCGAATAAGGACAGAAAGAGACGAGAACGAAGAGTTACCGATGATGAATCTGGATACCCGAGTAAAGATAAAAAGAACAGGGGGCGCGAGTATTCCGACTACGAGACAGCGGCAGAAACGGCTTTACGTATTCAAAAACAGAAAAGAAAGCAGAATAGAATTCCCGAGCCAAAACCAGATGCTCCGCGCAAACAACGGATTTTGAAGATACCAAACACGTTCACAGATGATGAGACAGTATATGAGAAGCCTCGGAAAGAACCCAAAACAAAGAAGCGGAGGGTTGTCAGTGGAGCACTTTTGGAAGAAGGTGAAGGGGAGCTGAAGCAACGAAGGATGTTTAGTGGTGCAGAGCTGAAAAACGATCTAAGAAAGCTAAAAGGGTTGAGAGGTGGGTATGCGCCGACGGAATCAAGCAGCTATCCTGAGAAGTATATTGAAAGTGATGAAGATTTCAGGAAGAGGCGGAAACGTATTTGTGAGTTTCTAAACTCAAACGCGAAAGAGTTGATATTGAGAGCTGATAATGTATCTAGGGATTGGAATTTGCATTGGAATAGTAATTTTGATAATTATAATAGCAGTTGCTGTAAGCACCAGCAAAAAGCACACGTCGAGTTCCTCCTCATCTACAGCCCCCGCAACAGAAAGTGGAACTCCTTCAAATTCAAACCTTGATGGGATGTCAGAAAGTGATATTCCAGTTGCAGCCCAAGGAACATACTTGGACCCATTTACATGGTACGATACGCTGGATTTTAACGTCACCTATACGAACGAGACTGTTGGCGATCTTCCGGTTATGGGCTTGAATATCTCTTACAGCGATGATGTAGCATCAAACTCCAACGTACCCAAGCTATCTGCGAAGTGGGGAGCGTATACTTCAAGACCAGCTAGAGGTGTCAATTTGGGTGGGTGGCTTTCTATCGAACCATGGATTACACCATCTCTCTTCAATTCTTACTCATCGGCAGATGGAATTATCGATGAGTGGACACTGACCACTAAATTGGGTGCCAGTGCCGCGGCATCTACCCTCGAAAAGCATTATGCAACCTTCGTTTCCGAACAAACATTCGCCGATATTGCTGCTGCTGGACTGGACCACGTTCGAATACCTTACTCATACTGGGCCGTGATGACATATGACGATGATCCATATGTATTTCGCACCTCGTGGCGTTACCTCCTCCGTGGTATAGAATGGGCTCGCAAGTATGGTCTGCGCATTAATCTCGATCTTCACGCTCTTCCTGGATCCCAAAACGGTTGGAATCACTCCGGTCGTCAAGGATTGATTGGTTGGTTGAATGGTACTAATGGCAATCTGAATGCCCAACGCAGCATTGAAATTCATGATCGACTTTCTAAGTTCTTTGCTCAGGACCGCTATAAAAATATTCTTAGTTTCTATGGCTTAGCCAACGAACCCAAAATGATATCTCTGGACGTTACCACTGTTCTCAATTGGACTTCCACAGTTACAGATTTAGTTGTAAAGAATGGCATCTCAGCGTACGTCGTAATCGGAGACGGGTTTCGCGGACTCGAAAACTGGCAGGGTGATTTGACGACTTATGACAATCTAGTTCTGGATGTTCACCAATATGTTATCTTCAATAGCGGGCAAATCGTTTACAACCATACGGAGAAAGTCACATATGCCTGTAGTGGTTGGACCCAACAAACTGAGATATCCATGAACACCAGTACGGGATTTGGACCCACGATGGTTGCCGAATGGTCCCAAGCCGATACAGATTGCGCAACCTATCTCACGAATGTCAATCAAGGAACTAGATGGGAAGGTACATACAATACCGGAGACTCGTCGACGGCGCAAACGTCGCCGGATTGTCCGGAACAGGATAGCACATGTAGTTGTACGAATGCAAATGCAGACCCAAGTACTTATAGTGATACGTATAAGAGCTTTTTAAAGATGTTTGCGGAGGCGCAGATGCATAGTTTTGAGTTGGGTTGGGGCTGGTTTTATTGGACATGGTCTACGGAGACTAGTGAAGGGGGTGGTACACAATGGAGTGAGTTTTCTTTTTCTGCCTTTCAATTTCGTCCTTTCTTTATCCTGTTGGCTTCACCTTCGAGGCATTAGAGCGGGGAGAAAAGTAAGCGCGTGAGGAGAATCATCAAATGGATACTAATATGTCAAATTAATAGGCTATCAAAGAGGATTAGCAGCGGGAATTCTCCCAAAACTAGCCTACGAACCGGACTTTAAATGTTCATCGACAGTCCCAAGTTTCAGTGCTTTACCTGAATACTACTAGCTAGTATTCAGATGTTATCGCCTTGGAACTCGATGGGTGGATGATGGATGCCACGATTGAGAAAGAGTGAGTGAGAAGGCTTTATGATGAACGATATGAATGACGGATGCATATATAAAGAGCTTGAGCTTGAGCTTGAGCTTGATCTGATTTGGATCTGGCAGCATGGCTCGGGGACTTATGAGGTTGATTTGATTTGTCTGTATATCCGGATATAGAAGCTGAGACGTTGGAAGGACTGGACTAATGGGTGGGATGAGTGGGATGAGTGGAATTGAGCTGGAGGAGAGATGAGATGAACCTAATTGTGGGATTTGTAGATATATGTGTTGTATAGAATTGAATTGCTAATCGTTGTTTGAAGGATTAGATTGGGTGAATGAACAAATACCTAGAATTATTTCGATCTTGCACAGATAATGCATATTCACAATCAGATGAGCGATATCGAGATGTGGGTATTAGTATCAATATTAATATACTCAAGTAGGTTAGTGTCTATTTGAGAGTGTACTACAAAGCGATTTCTTGTGTTTTGGGGAGGGGGAGCGGGGGCTGTTCTTCATGAATTCATGATGGTATCGAGATTATCCTTGCTACCTCAGTGGCCGCATTTCCCCAAACAAATAGTTCTTGCTTCGTTTCTTGCCATTATACTCTGGTATTCGTTTTCCTCTTTCCTCTTTCCTCTCATTTTTTCTCTGTTCTCTTTCATCTAATCTCCTTTTTAATTTTTAATTTTTCTATCTGTTCTGTTCGTTTCGCTATTAAAATATAACATACATTACTTACTTGTACTTGTAATTACTTACTCACTTGGTATATATGCAACCAGTGTAGATAGCTCACCGGAGGACTCTCCAATGTCCATACCCGACCAGATGCAGACGCAACTATATCCTCAACAATATCCAACTATATCCCAAACCAAAGTAAAGACGGACACGCTCACCGGGATCTATCTCTTTTTTCTTTATCTTTTGAAAAAAGAAAGGGCGGGACTTGTTAGGGGTTTTCGGTATATTGTACCTTGCCCGGGATTTGCTATCTACCGGTATATAGTTTATTTTTCTGTTCTGTGGGGTTTTGTGGGGTTTGAGATTTGGTGTTGGTTGGGGAAATTGTTGTTGTGATGTTGTGATGTTTTGCTAATGTGCTGTTCGTGGTCTATCTTGCTTTTAGTGTACCGGTATAAATTTGAGGTTGGGAGAGTGTTTTGTTGGGGTGCTAGTAACAGTGCCAGTGCCAGTGCTAGTAACAATATCGGTAGTGTGTTATGAAAGAAAGAGTGTGAAGTTTGATGGCTAGCTACTGATATAGTAAGTACATCGGCACCATGCGTCTGGGGGCGTGTTGGGTTTGAGAATTGGAATTAGAATTAGTGTGGAGTGATACATTTGAGGGGGCTGGGACTCTGGAGGAGGAAAGAAGATTGTATTGGGATGGAATGGAATGGAGTGGAATAGGGATAGTTAGTGTGAGTGGGGTGAGTTAGTTCAGAAGCAATCCAGTTACTGTTGAAAGTTGACAGGGAGGAAGGGAGTTGGTTTGAAAGTAGATTGTGATGCTCAGTTCTTAGAAAATCGATGTGTGGATATATTATCTCCTTCTTCAAATAGCTCTTTAATCATTACTATAATGCGTTCCTATCATCGATTATGATACATGGCTGAGGGTTGAGATTTGAGCATAATAGTCACCGACTATCTAACATACAATTTGATGCAAAATCCCTTCGTCAGCCTAACTTACACGTTACAAGCAAGCTGAACAAACAGACCGTCGGAAACTGATGCTTTGATATCTTTTGGTTTCATTCAAACTTGCGCTGGTTTTTCGGAAAGGAAGAAGGAAGAGTATAGGATGGGATGGCGAAGAAGATCGGGTATGAGAAATTATTTGTGGAAGTGCAGATACATAGATAGAGTTGAAGTCTACACTTGAAAAAGTTTCTCTGTAGGAAAGTAGTGGATTTTGGGAACCTACCTAGATAGAGTCTAATATTTTGAATATATTTTAATGTTCCATGTGTATCTAATATCTGAAATTCTGAATTATATTGGGTTTTTCGTATGGATTCTATATCGTAGAAGACTCAAGCATTAATATGTCCCTGTTGCTCGTGCTCGTGCTGGGAGTTACTGGTATATATTGCATCCCAAGCAAAACGAGAAAAATCAGAAGGGGTTGGGTCACATCCCCTCTTCACATACATCTCCACCCTCTCCCTTTCATCAGCCACCGTTATTCCTCAAATCTCTCATCCATCCATCTTCCTCCGCTCTCTCATCAATCCAATCACTAATTTCCTTACTCGTACTCTTTTTCGCTTAATTCTCCATATATAAGGCTTTTCCAACACCACTCTAATTCCTCCTTGTTTTCCTCCCTCACATTCTTTCATCTCATCCATACCAATACCGATTTCTGATGTATTTGCATACCGGTACTGGTATTCATACACATATTTTCTATCCCTATCCCTATCTCTGTCACTCGGAACCACACATAATTTTCAGCTTGTTCCGAGGTGTAAATTTCATCTTCTCCACTTAATGTAATAATACGGTATCCAAGACCCATCAATAAAAACGAATAAGGCGATTGAAATAGCGATCTCGCTTTCTACGAATATCATACCCAGCCTTTCCCTCAGCCCTTTTTTCATCTCCTCAAGTTCCAGTCTCTCGAGTCTCGACATCACTTGTATCGTCTGTCATCTGTCATCTGAAGAGTGCTCTGTCACTATAATCTATTGAACCAGCGACTATTTTAACAAATCATAATACTCGAGTACTGTAGACATATGTTATCAAAAAAACACTAAAGATTAATACAATTTTTCCATCTAGAGGCTATACCTAGACCTAGACTCGGATATCTTATATAACGATTTTAAGTTTGAGTTTAAGTTTGAGTTTAAGTTTGAGTTATGCAGTTCAGATATGAAAATCGAAATATAGTAGAAGTTACTGAGTTACTTGTAGATGAGAAGCCAGGGAACACATACATATTGCCGATTACAAGATTGCTGATTGCTAATTGTACTCTTGAGGTGCATGCATCAATATCTACAAAAACACTAACTATATTAAAAAATATTATCAACAGATCACTAAACATAATTTCCGCGCCCGCCTACAACAGCCTAAGTCGTAATCCCATTAGCACTCAGAGGATAGAAACGTCATTTTGTGATTTTATACTACAATCCCATCTATAATTTCAACATTTAACCCCATAATTTCAACACCACATGAGTACCTAAACAATTATATAGCATAGCAATACGATTCAGTATTCAGTAATCTATCCTTCAAACACATTATCTAAATTTGATATAAGTCAACTACCCTACTTTCGGGCCACCCTTTCACACCAAAAATAGTGATTTTCGAATATTCACAATTCTATCAATATTGAATCTAATTAAATGAAATTTTGAATATATATTCTATATATAGTTATTAGCTCACTTATAGTTTTTTAGATTTTTCATGATTTTATATAAAAAGTTATTAAAGTTTAAAAATCAAGGTTTTCATTTTGTATACGATTTATATACAAATTTCAAAATATTCTAAAAATCTAACAGCTTTTAATAAAAATAAAT